CAGATCACTCAGAACGAGTATGGATTTTGTTGCTGAGACTATCACCAGGTAACGGGTAGCAAATACCACGTTTTTAAAACCTTTGGCGATGTGTAGACTCGCACACGACCACAACAACCGTCTAAGAACACTGGCGCCTTGCCACCACCTTGCCCGCACCCAGATCCTAAGTACCTGGCTCATGACGCACTCTAGCTAATGCTTGCCTGGGAATGTGTCTCAAGGGTAAGTATGGCTTAGAATCGCTAGCCTAGTGAAGTTCCCCAATGTCTCAACCCCACCCGCATCCATTGTATACAAAAGTGCATATTAGTGTAGAAGTAGTGAAATCACCTGCCACATCACTACAGGTGTGATAAGCCATGGCAGCAAGGTGTACCCGGCGTTGTCAAGGACGGAAAATGACCTTGGGTAATTTCCAACTAATGGAATGGCCAAACGATAATGTTTTACATATTTGTTTTGTCAGAGTACGAGCCTAGGCGAATGTCGACCGACATAAAACGCGTCTTGGCGTCAACCACTGCCTGGAAGTTGAGGGATGGGTCTTTGTTGCAACTCTAAAAATCTTCGTACTCCTTGGGGCGTTGAATTTCGAGGAGGATTCCTTTGACAGCGCCAACCACACCAGGTATTTTTTGTCTGGCAAATAATACCTGCTCAACATCGCTCCACTCCGCGGAGGTTCTAGATCCACGTTACTACGCTGTACGACAGGACACCCATCAACACGCTGACGACATCGACGCACAACCACCTGGACAATCCAAACGCAGCGGCCGTTTCACTTTAACCTCCGTCGGATCTGAGAAAGTACAACACAACTGCCACCTTCCTTTCGAACAACTGTTGGGAAAGCCGACGGTAGCGTTCAGGTAGTTCGTAGCGAAGCCAATCGAAGAGCCGACCGAACGTAGCTTGGCTGCATCGCAGATTGGCGTTGAACCATTGTTCGTACTGAGGGTGTCCGATCATTGAGTCAAAGTCTACTTTTGTAACGGTGAGTATATTAAACTTGTCACACGGACGTCTATGGAGGATGGTGGCTAACCTGATGCATACGGCGGAAATGGTGCATGCAGTTGTAACAACGGCGGCATGAGTTGGATTCATCCTGATGGGGGCAGGGACAAAACTGATTTCCTTCACCGACCACAAGGTTGCTTATGCATCCGAAATTTTTTTAATGGATAGACATGAACGGACGGAAACATGGACGAAATTATTCCCCGACCAGGGCCTAATACTACTAGTACTGTATTCTTCGGGATGTACACCCTCCGCCAACTCGCTCCAGTAAAGGGGAAGAGAGGGAGTACTATAATAGGACTATGGCTGCACTCCTAGACAGCATTCCGTACTGTACGACGGGTGCGACAGTTACATATTATTACTTTTTTGAACAGCTTTATCTTAATCTTTGTATTAAGTATGCGTATTTTTATTCATCCCCATAATTATTTACGTTTTGCAAACGATTTATACATCCTGCAGATTGTCCATCCATACTTACTAGGGAGATGAGGGAAATATGGTATTCGAATGACATTCTACCAATTAGTCCTTTGAAGTGAAGAAATTCTTGTGCTGCACTGGGTAGTTGCCATGTCGAACGAGTAATTAGTATTTGTCGCCGACGCTTGTTAGTTTACAAATGCAATCGGTTATCCGAAATTTACGGATAAAACTAGTATATTACTAGCAAACATTCATGAAGATTCACGAATATTCGAATCTTCGCCGAATTCAAAATTTGTGATTTTTGTGCGAGGATATCGCCGCTAATAGTATCCCATTCGTTCTGATTTGAATGGATCTTGTTAGACCGCACTATCAGCATACCGCTATATATAAATTCTTTGAAATGTAGATGGATATAGACTGTTGAATCTGACATCCAAAACACGAATTCAGAGCAAAAAACGACGAATTCGTTGTTTTGGTCTCCCTCTCATTGGTTCAAATCAGCATTCGATGAGAATTGCAACATAGATATCTGAACCCTCTGCAGTGAAGAATTTGCTGGCGCAATATCGTCATTGAAACGTCTGTACTTGCGGTTTTATCGTCCTTTCTACAAGGACATTCGGGATCTACAAATGGTACATCTAGTAGTTTGAAATTCTCTGTAGTAAGTTCCTAGCACTTTTATTTTACTTCATTATTCGATTTGTGCCTTAAAATATGCACGATTGACATCGACATCACAACTATCCGGATAAGTCAGCAAGCGGTCAAGCATTTGGTTCTAAGTGTTGATCCGGTAAAACAGCATGCGAATCTATCGAACATCATCACCTAGTACATGCATCACCTAGTACAGTACATGCGGGAAAGGCGCGATGCAGGTCAGCGATTTCTCAATGCATACTGCACAACGGGTCACGCAACTCTCCATTCCTCATCATAACAACCAATACTATCAACAACACCTTATTGCATGTCGCCTGGATCAACAACTGTAGAGAAAGACAACTTCGAACTTACCAAATTCTTAGTATTTCAAGAACATGCGTGTACATGCGGGTAAGATGCCTCATGCCATAAAGAGCTATGCAAGCGCAGACCATGCTGCATAGGCTGAGTTAGTAATAGGCTAACTTATAGTATGAGTAGTATTCCTCTAAGTATCATACAGCTCGAGAAAAGCGACATCAAAGTTCGTCCATTTTCGATATATGAGTATGTCGACATATCGTTCGAGTTGTAACGCACAATAAAATATGGAATCCGCAAAAGCATTGAAATATCCGGATTTGTTGGGTTTCTCTATGTGCAATGACGCGAATTTTCTGAATGCAAGCACCACACTTGCAGTGAGCAATACAAAGCGTGTCAGTACAACACCCAATGTCCCTGTCGGACAATTGGTTAACTGCGAAGAAACTCCAGAGTTTTCTTTCGCCAACCATGAATGCCTCGATTTCCATAACTTCGTGTTGTCCTGTTCCCGCATCTCCCAGCGGCGGTTTCACCAGACTCTGATCACAGCCGTGGCGGCGGCTACGTTAACGTTAAATAAGGAGCGCATGAAGCTGCCACCAAGTGTTACAAGAGCTTCCCACTTTAAGCCGTCCAAGTCAATGCCAACTCCCCACTTTATGTGGCTAAACCAAGAACTTCAGAATATATCACCTCAAACTCTACCGGATAAACAACGAGAATGAGACGACGGTGTGACATGATACTAATTGTAACTACAGTAACTTACCTTCAAATCGAACAAACGGAAACGACATCAAGACGACCCACACCATGGCACGACGAGGACCAAGGCTGCCGCAATTGCCGCCTTGCAAACACACACCCAATGCTCTAACCGGCGCCGACGAGGACGAGATTGCTTCGATCGAAGCGTTTGCATCGTCCATGGAAGACAAATACTTTAACGCAATGATCGAACTTTCAAACACGAATGCACAGGACGCATGTCCAAGTGAAACCACGCAGGCGGGCAATCATGGTAACGTTAACAATTCAAAAGATTTAGATCGTTAACTGTAACAATCCTTGTTGTAATCTATCACTGTGAATATAAATGTAGACGATGATGGCATTGAACCATCAGGCGACCAAATCGACTACTTTGAAGAATATAACGCCAGTGAAATCGATGCAGATTCGGCATCGCACAGCTCAAGCAACGACGATTCACTTAGAGACATTCCAGACCAAAATAGGTATTTTGCTCGTCGTCAAAAGTATATGGCGAGTTACACTACAAAGCTGCAACAACTTCTTGGTGTATGGCACGCTTTTTTGGCCCTGACCTGGAGGGTACAGTCTGTGCAGTACAAGTATGTTTGAGCCCTTCAGAAGCCCGATGCATGACGTGTCGAAAGGGGCACATGCCTTCGACATTCTGCTATCATCATGTTGGCGTTCATACAAGGCTAGCTACTGGTCACATTGTGGAAGGATTTGACGGTCGACTACCCCCTGTTGACAAAGTTGTCATTTGCTGCACTGGTATCAGCCGTCCAGTAATTATCAGTGTGTACACCATGG